TTTGTGTTTATCTTTTCCACCGGATACCTCTCATATCCCTTACCGATGTAGGTAACTTTCTGCATTGTTTTTAATCTGTCTCTACCCAAACTATTTTGCTGTCTTAGTTTTATTTTCCATTCTTTTGGAATTGCATTTAAAATGGCTCTCCATAATAGATAATCCACGTCACTCCACCCTTGTTCTTTAGCTTCTTTCCATGTCGGTTCCTTTCCTATCCATACCTGATGCACTGACTTCACACCTTTCATTGCTAGTCCTTTTATAGATATATTTTCAGCATTTACCTTTATCAGTCTATTGAACCAGATTGGTTGTCTTAGAATGTCGTCTTGATTTGTTAAGTTAATTTTACTAACTTCTGACCATGCATGAATTATTTCTTTATAAAATTTTGGAATGTATTTTATTTGGGCTAATAAGGCAGCCTGATCTAAATTTTCCTCARGATATTGTAATCCTCCTATCTGCTCAAAGATTTTCTCACATACTGACCTCCAGTAGACATCTTTTTCACTATTTCTAATCTTTAAAGCCCACCTTACACGGTTTGCTCTTATCATCGAGTCTAAATCGGGAAGGCGTATTCCCCCTTGATCAAAATCATTTATCAATGTTGTATATTTAATTTTGGGTTTTTTACCATTCCAGATAAAATTTGCGATTTCATCTTTCACATGTTTTACATAGTGTAGAGGTGCACTTAACACAGAAAGGACATAACACAGTTTACTGATGGCTAAGCTCCTAACAATTACCGCCTTACCATATACAGTTAAATTTCTTTGTCTCCACATATTTATTATTATATTCTCCTGCGGAGAACAGTGCACATGGGTTATTGTGCGGACACCATTCCCTTTGTATGTTACATACACATCCTTATGTATGAAATATCTTGGTCACTAAAATACCTACACTTATTCTTGATGCTCCCATGAAATATCTTGGTATATAATGAATATTATCTTGAAATATCTTATCTTGGTCAAAAAACTCACACTTACCTAATGAAAACTTGTCCTTCTCTTTAATTGAGGTGCTTCACATTTTCTGGGGCTACAGCATTTTTGTTGTTATTGTTCGGATTCTCAGTGGAAAGGTTTGTGGAATAATTAAGTTTATTGAAATCTTTACACTTTTTCTTATTACCCATTGTACAATCTGAAGACTGTCTATGTATATCATTGCAACTTACTGATTGGCTCCTAGATTGCATGTAGTGTATTTAGTGTTAGGTCAAAATTTAGACATTGTCATTAACTTGTCATACAAATGTACAGTTTATCAATTATATTACAATACAGGGTAAGTATCAAAGAATTAAGTCAAATGAAGTTGATCAACTATGGAGGATTTCAGAATGTTTGTATGATAATTCAACGACAATGTCCAAATGTTTTGGTGAAAATAACATCAAGGACTCCATTTGTAATCTAGGGGATAATCAACAAATTAGTTTTTGATTGGTTACAATAAAAGTGATTGCAGTTGCATAGACCTTTTAGTATACCTTTTAAATCTTTTAGCATAGTGCATTGTGGTCTAGCTCAGTACAAACACCTTTTGTTCATCATGCTTTATATGGTGTTATGTCCAAGCTAGACCACAATGCATCCTGTTTATCGAACTCGGCAAAGGCTTAAGGTCAGCAGACTGTATTTTTGGAATTCATCATAGGTTGAGGCAAAAAACACCAGAATTTATTGACTGGTTTTAGACTGTGAAGTTCCAGAACTATTAGTTTTCCAGTGTAGAAAGGCCAATGTCAGATCCCCCTGAAAACTACCCTTTGTAGTGTGCTGTCCCGGGGAGGAATGGATGTAAAAATAACAAACCAGCACTTTATGAAATGAGCAATAATAGACCTTTGTAATTGATGTATAGAATGTCAAGGATGTGCGCAGTGATAATGAAAGTTCTTCTGGGGATGAAGAAGAAAAGCCGAAACAAGATGGCATTCCACATGAAAACAAGAAGAAACAGTAAACAGGAATGCATAATTACAATTGTGAACTGAAAATGATACTCTGTTACTTTCAATTATAGGAAACATTAATTTTATGTGAGAAAGAAAACTACCAGGAAAAAATGATTGTAGGTTTGCAGCAGTTATTAATGAGAAGCCACGCAGAGTGTGTAATATCAAATTTAGTATTGATCTTCTTATTTTTATTTTTGATATTAACTGGTAAGACTAAACGAAAGTTAATGTAACAGCTAGATCAAAGAACAGCAAGAACAACACTGGTCATCATCATCAACAATATCGTGGTTAACAACAGAAAAAACAACAGAACTCACAACCCAATAGAAGCAACAACACAACAACAACAAAAGCAGCGACAATATTAACAATGGGGTGAAAAACTCCATCATCATTAACAACAATAAACAAAATATATAAAAACAGACAACCACAAAAGCAACCACAATACTAGCACTAATAAGAGGAGCAGCCACAACAATACTCTCAGCAACATTAATACCAGCACCAACAACCACAACAACACAATAAAAGCAACAACAACAATAACATGCAAGTCACTATGATAAACAGGGTCTGATAAACAGATACAGTATGTATTTGATTCTATCAGTAATCTAAATGACAACATTCCTTACCTAAACTATCACAAATATTGTTTTAAAATTCTCTTCTCAAGTTCATATGTTAAAACTCCTTTGAGAATACTAAGACAATAGTGATAATTAGCATGACAACAAAGCTACCAAAAGGGTTTTGTATTATTAGTGTAGGTATAAATTAATGTCATCATGCTCCTATTCTTTGAGTTTGTCCTGCATTGCAAAGATATTGTATAGCAACATCTTCAGTACAGTATAATAATGAGGCTCAAACTTATAACTGTTGTTTTATTTAATGGGAAACATGACTGTAGTCTCTGGTGGTTTTTCCTGTGATAAGAGGAAGATATGATGCACTAACATAACAGTATGAAAAAGAAGAATTGCAAAGGAACTTTTTATTCAACTTTAAAATTTCAGCATTTTGATTGTCGAAATAAAATAAGTAAAGTTATGACTTTCTTCCCCCAAAGCAGAATCACCATGCGATAAAGAAAAACCTGTGATCGCAATTAGACCAAATTATTTTACAATAATTATATACTTTATTTATTTAATTATATAATTATGGAAATCATTAATAGATTATTTTTTCATTATTTTTTTTTGATAATTTAATGTTATCTTTTTCTTTTGACTTGCAATATTATCTCTTTGAAGAGGAGGAAAAAATTACATGAGCCATTATTTATGATTTGATTGATTGTTTTGTGACCACTCTTTATTGTGTCCCGATGACCACCCCCAGTAAAATGTTTTCATTCTTTAGGTTTTGTAAATCTGCTTTTCTAAACATTTTCTGGCTTACATTTTATTATTTATCTTTTTTTTAAAGAATTAATCTTTTTGGTAAAGACACAACCCTTTGATCCTTGCAATAATAAGGCAGGGTGTGTTTGTTTTTACTGTAGACATTCGAAAGTGCACAAAATTTGTTTCACAGGAAAAAAACCCGGATTCCCAAATTGGCAATTTGTTGGAAATTTCCTTGAATTCCCAATGAATTTCCATCCAATTCTCAGAGAGAACGAAATTGGGAACGTGGCACTGATTCTCAATGTTAGTTTGTTGGGAATTTTGTTTTTCTATTGTGTATTAGAAGGAAATTCCGAACAATAAATCTTAACGTTGGTGTTTGAATTGGGAATTCAAGGGAATTCAAGGAAATTCCCAACAATTCCCAATTTGGGATTCCATTTTTTCCCCCTGTGTTTTCCCATCCAGATTTAAAGAAGTGAAGCTAAAATAAAATAAGACAAAAACGAGGAATGACTTCTAACTTTCTTGCACTGTTAGTGACAAGTATCTGAAAGCCTGGTAACCTAGCAACAAGGATCAGCTTATTATATAGTTAAACTGATAGTATAATGATAGTTTAATTTAAGTGTTGATTTAGTAATAATGCATAATATATCAAATAATGAGAAATACATGTACATTGACTTATCAAATGTGTTGTTTCACCGAGTACAAGGGGGCGGGGAAGAATCTAGATCAACTTTTGACGTCGAAAAGTAGTAGTTTTAGAAAGATCTTGGTTTCATATCAAAAGTTTTTTTAGCAGAATTATTGTCTATATTTTACAGCAAGCAAGTTCTCATTAAATAATCACGAGGTCGGTCATTATAAACCTTTTTCGAGTTCCAAATTAGAGCTATGTTCCTTGATTACAGATTCATTTACTCATAGTACTCATATTCATGGGGTTAGCCGCATATCAGTGTCTAAGTATTCACAAATAACAAAGGTAAAGTAAAGAATGCACAATGAACGCTTTGAAATACCATGGACCTTCACTGGAACACATGAATATTCTACATAAAATTGAGGCTAACCCTGAGCAACAGAGAACCTGAAAATTGAGTATTATATCAAAGTTAAACCCCCACCAACCTACACTTTTGCTATCATGATTTCCTGGGGGGTACTCTTGCCCGTTTAGGGTAGGGATGTGCCGCTGAGCCCTGACCCTGTTCCAGAGTAAAATCGCTGAAATTCATACCCTGTTCCAGAGCAAGATCGCTGAAATTCATACCCAGTTCCGGTATTGCGAAAATGGATACCCTGTTCCAAGAAGGAGAGAGCGAGATTTCATATCCCCTGTCCAAGAGCGAGCACAATTTTGTATACCCTGTTCCAGAGTAGAATCGCTGAAAAGCATACCCTGTTTGGCGGCATGTACCCGTATAGCAAATATAGGGGAGTACCCCGCCCCCGTGGCGTGATTTATTCATATCTAGTGTGCTGTTTGAAATACTTTTATTTCTTCCATAATTTATTAATTTCGTTCAGGCATTAATATATGTACGAATATATATATATATAATATACAATCATGACCACCGTAGACAAAAATATGAAACAACAATTCTAAAGCTCAAATGGAAATGAAATGTCATAGATTAAGCGCCTTCACTCTATCTATTCCTCAGCTTTCTTATAAATAGTATATATAACTTCCAATATAACTTAAGGTACTCAATAAACTCTAACTTATTATAAATCAATAGACCTATCCCGAATTCACTTGACTGACCACAACAGTGGTTTGAAGTTGAGATTGAACTTGATTCTTTTATTCATCAAGTTCGACCTCGACTTGAAACCATTGTTTCGTGACCAGTCAAGCATATTCGGGATAGGTCTATTGCCATATTCTATAATTAATATTAGATTTTTGTGTTTTCAATTTATGTAAGGCTTAAAATAACAGCAGGTAATTGGACACTGTCTGGCTTTACTGCTGTTTTCGATACTCTACCAATTCAATCAAAAAATAATAAGTCGGTACCTTTTATGTTCTTGACTGGAGGCAATAAAAAATCAATTTCAAAACAAGCCGTTGAAATGTCTGAGTTTGCAGAATATGGAAAACCAAAATAATTATAACTTTTCTGGTTGAATCTTTGCCTTGCTGGTCACTTGACTAGTAACAGTGAGCAAGAAATAAGCTATTATATAGCTAAAACTAATCCAACCAGTGAGCATGGCCGCATATGACTGGCTGTTCTTTTAAACCCTTAATATAATATATGTAATGAATATTTACTATGATAATGTATATCTTTGTAAACATGGGATATGTAACTAATCGAAACACTTCGTGAGATTCACACTCACATGCATAATTATAATCCAAGTGTCATGTATTATTAGTGCATTCCTTGAAGCCTTACAAGTCCTTCAAAGCAATAGAAGAGTAAACAAGTCCTAAGATGCCAGCAACAACACCAAAGACAACAACAGCTATCTCAGCTGTAATAGTATACCATCTGAGGTCTTTCCACTTGAGTTTCAAATGAAATATACAAGGAAAGATGAATGACAAACAAGCACCCAAGACACTTCCAAAAATCCCCATCAACAACCCAAAGTTGGGAACTGCTATTGCAATAGCAAATGTAATGAACACCAAGACAGAACGGGAAGCTATCAGCCAGGCAATGTGACATCTCCTTCCCTTCTCACACATTGGGAGTTTTGGCAGGCAAAGTATGTCGAGGGTCTCTGTGGTTACAAACATGTTGAGAGGATAGGAGAAATAGACATTGATGATTACGAGCACAGCTGCAAAAATGTTCAACGCTGTGTTTTGGTTGAGGTTTAGTGTGACCAAGGGTTGGGTTGCTGTTCCATATAACAAACAACCAAAAAGACCAAGAATAAACTTACAGAATGTAACAATAGAAAAAGAAGTGTAAGTTACCTTATTGAACTTCTTTGGCTCCTGCATGGACCCCTGGATGCCTGGAAAAACAGAATGACCACTATACCCAAATACCACTATCCCAACTGCTACAGGTAATTTCTCTAGGTTAAAATTAGGGATGTTGTGAAGACTCCAAGAGCTCCACTCGCCTATAGAATGCCCTATTATTACTAATATACAGATTATTAGGGCAAGTACAGCCAGCATACTTAACCATGCTAAGATATGTAGTTTTCTAATGAACACTAAAGGCAGCAATAAGCAAGTACATATTAGACACCACTCGGTGATATTCACGTGCACGACACCCTTAAATATACTCATTACACTACTACCTAACATCATGACTAGTAAAATGCTGGTACAATAACAAGTTGATACTATCATAAAGTCAACTAATTTGCCGCCAAAAGGACCCCACACGCTTGCCGCAATCTCTGCATAGCTTGTCCTCACTTTTTTGCGCAATCCTGTCTTGGCAGAGGTTTTGTAGAGACAGTCGATCAGAAGGACCCCAGTGAAATTGGTCATCAAACCAACGAGGAGAATGATAACTAGAGCAGGAAACCCACCCAAGGAAATTGCGTAAGGAATTCCTAGTACTCCACCGCTACCTTGAATCATGTTGATTACATTCCAGAGAGTAAGAACAGCCGATGCTTGGCCATCTTCGGCGATCTTGGCCAGTATTGACACCGAATAACTATAACCTGGAATCTCAGAACATGCGCTATTGACGCTACCGCTGTGCTTGTCGATAAAAGAACCCTTGCGCGATTGGTGTGAGAAATCATGTCCCCTACTTGAATACAGAGAAAACTGCACCGAAGGAATGAAGAGTGAAGCTTGACTAGTAGTTAAACTATGGAAATCTGTACTTCGATTTGTTTCGGTCGAACGCATTAAAGGAGTTTGTTCTGACGGAGCTTCGTAAGATCTAGAGTCATCCAAGTTTTCTCTTCCTAAGTCCTGTTCTTGTTCTAGTTGTTCTGTTGTCAGAGGTTTTCCCTCGAGGATCGTGACAAGATCGGGTTCTTTGAGCACGGGTTGTTGGAATGGGGACGGTTGAAATGAAGAAATCGAGTCAACCACGACTTCAGGCACGTCTGAAGAGCTTTTTTCATCCATATTAGAACTTATTTCAGTGACAATCCAAGATGTACTGTCGATGATCTCGACGCTCGTGACTGAATGAATACTAGTACACACCAAATAGATTTATTGTTGCAACATCTCTTCCGGTCTTGTTTGACTGGTTCTCACAAACTAGTTTTCGTCCCCCAGGACACGTGCGTGTGTGAATGCCAAGTCCTTAATGAAATTATTGATAAAATTCTTTCAATTCTAGAAGGATAAAATGATCAGATCTTTAATCTATTAAACCTTGAATCAGTGTTGGAACGAAACGCAACTTTATTATGAACCCTTTAGGGAAAACCCGCCGCTGATCGGCGCACGTGCAATCACGGCGTGATTCATCCCGGGGATCCCATAGTACCTTTGATTCAGTTTTCTACGGTAGAGAAGCGGTATTAAAAGCACTGTGTACCCTGAAAAATTGACAACGAAAGAACAGAAATCTGGTTTTTTTTAGATCTAATCGTATACCCAGGATGCATTTTTACACGTATCACTAATAAACAAGCGCGACTGGTCTGGTGTAAAACGTGTACAACTCGTAATCTATCAAAGAGCGTGGCGTTACTCGGTAAGGATAAGGGTCAGGTGCCTAACCAGCTTTTCGTGCAGTCAGACTCGTATGAACTAATATTACACAATACCAAAAAACATACTAACGTGTTTACTTAACCAGTGAAATAGGTAGTAGACTTCGGTAGATCTTTCAATATTTTCATTGTTTTCTTCTGTGTCAATGGGGAGTTTGCACACCTTGCGTGACATTTTATGGGGCTTGAAAAATACGGCTGCTATGGCGCGCGTCTGTGTACAGTCATTTCCCGCCCCTCCACCCAACGGGGGAAAACGGGAAGAGGGGTTGTAAGCGGCTGTACACAGGCTAAAAATCATCTGGCTGTAATACACAACTAGCCTTTATGTAAAGAAAATATAATAAGATAACTCTATGCATACATTTTAATGCAGCCTCCCATACAAATAAAGTTACAAATAAAGTATGTATGTATGTATGTATGTGTGTATGTGTACCAGTGGAAATGGGGAAAAAACCCAAAAAACTGGCAATGTGCACGAAATGGACGTAATAAAAATACAAAATGATAATTTAGAAAGTTCTTTAACATTAAATTTTTTTAACGTTCCTATGCTATTAGCAGAGCGCACTTTGTCAGGTAAAGTGTAACCCATTTTGTAGCACCAAGATTTGAGACTAGGTAGTAGACTAAAAGGTTATGAGATGCAGAGTGAGTGCAGACTACTGGTGGGTTAATTAATCAAATACTTGATATGGCTTCTTAAGGTGTGGACAGGCAATGTGGCATCACCTGCAATGTTGCATGAAAAAGGCTGTTTTGTATGTGTGTGTGTGTGGGGGGGAATGAAACACTGTGTGATATTGCATGCAATCTTGTGGTGCAATGGGGTGTCTGCACCTAGAGTATATATTATTGGTGCATAAGAATGTACTGCCAGAGCATATTTTATTTGATTTCCCTTCATAATTCAAGTTAAATTTACATATTCTATTTTTCTTTCTTTGTTCGTCATTTTATTGTACAATATCTAAATTACATTCTTTGTTTTCACACCTTTTTATACTCATTATTATTCACATATATAAATCAACGTTTTCTCTGATATTCAGTAATATTCAGTAATATATATTATAACTATTATTTAACTTCATCATCAAAAACTACAAAAAGCCACTTCTGATCAAGATATTCTATTCTATTCATTTTTCTCTCTTATTTCTTCTCGAAGTTGATACTTTGCATCCTCTATAAGAAAACTGAAAAAAAAAAAAAGAAATTAACATTAACATTAACATTACTCATAGATTTTTTCAAAACTTGCAATGTAATTTGAAACATTTCTGTATGTTTTGTTGGGGTATTGGAAATTCCAGGTCAGGTTTGGGAAAGGTCTGAAAGGTTTGAAAAAGTCTATTTTTCCGACCCCGTTCCTGCCCACTGATAGAAAGCAGGGGTGGATCCAGGGAGGTGTTCTGCAATGCACCAGACTCCCCCCTAATGCTGTAATTATTACTCATGCATTTTTGAAGCAAAAGAAACATTTACAATGCACAATATCTCTATATACCGTTTCTTCAATAAATTCCATAAATTCCTGGATCCACCCCTAACAAATTCCTGGTAAATCATTATATGTATGAATATTGAGGAGGCAAAGTATATAGATATTATTTATCAAGAATGTCCAATAATTGGTAGTCATACCTGTACCAGAAGTAGCAAAGAGGAATGGTTCCAAAATGCCACAAAGAATGAGCATCAAATGTCCACCAAATGGGAGGAAAGTCGAATACCTGTTGTATATTATATAAATAAAAAAAATTCTCTTATTATACCAATTTTGAATTAGAACTAAAGGATATTATACTATATACTCTCTAAACCCCCATCCACTTGTTGTTTCAGCTTGGAAATAGATCTTTTTTTAAAGAGTGCATTTTCATTTCACTTCTGTGGATTTAGGTTCAATTTCTGACAACACATGCTAGTAGGGTTTGGTTGGGTCTTGAAGACTCCCTTGATTCGATGTTTTGCTCCAGAGATTCTCCTGTTACTGTATCTTCCCCCCACTAAAACAAGCTAAATTCCAATTTGATCTGTGAGTGAGCTGTGATCTGATTTAGATCAACCTAGAGGTCATTTAAGGGTTCAATCTGAGAGAAAGCTGTGCCCTGTCCCATATCAGGCCAGGGGTTGTTCCAGGGTACCTTAATCAGATTTGAAGGTAGTGTTTACAGGTTAGATCTTTTACATACCTCAAGGCCAATTAAAAAGAATACTGATGATGTAAGAGCTGCAGCTTTCCAAACATAACGCTGTTTGTGATAATTCTAAAGCAGAAAAGGAATTATTAATAAGGATATGAAAATTCAATGCAAATCCAATGATGGTAATCCTATGGTGAATTTAATCTCAGCCAAAGGACAAAAAATCACCTCACAGAAAAACTAACAAGCAACTACTTCACACACAAGTGATGAAAAGATTCTGAGAATTGAACTCACATGACCACAGCAACATGAGATTGCACACTAAATCACAATATGTCATTTAAATGGACTAACCCTTAAAGACCATATCAGCCATCCTAAAATATTGATAACTCCTGAAGAAAAAAGATGAATGTCACTTGGATTAGAAAGCTAAGTTGCACTGTGCAGATTCTGAACAGAATCAGTACCATCGATCCCACCTAAGGATTGCTGATTTCATCATCCTGTCCTGGCTTACTCACCTATTATGACATTCATCTTCATATTATAGCTGTAGTCAAACTTGACAAAACCAAGATAGTAGACATGGCAAGAGTATATGAGTAACAAGACAGAAGCAAATGTCCCACACTTTAGTTTATTGTCTGGTCCAACAACCCTGGTAGAAATATTAACAAATATTACATAAGAAGCTGATCAAGAGGCAGTCTGAGATGAGTTCAGACTAGAATAACAGGTAATTGACTGAGCATGAGGTCCACATATAATAGTAGTACACTGTATATTGAAGGACAAATTAGTATCCCCGTACTTGGTCAATAAAATGTTTATTCTGAATGACAGCTGGTACTCTTGACAACTGCACCTTATTACTCCAAGATTGATATTTCTGTTGGTTAGAGATATATTATCATGTAATGGGAAGTTATATCAAGGATGGTGTAGCGATAGTACACTCACATTTCACCTGGAGACTTGGGTTTGATTCCTGGACTTGGCATCACATGTGAGTAGAACTTGTTAGCTCTATCAAGTTCCCTTGATTTAAGTTGGTTTTTTTTTAAGTTCTCCAGTTTTCCTCCCACTGCAAATTGATATGTGGTTCAGCCATGTCCCAGATTTTAATCAGATGCTGTTAATGTATTCAGGAAGTTGACAAATTTGAAGATTTTTGAAGGTAATGTTTGTTTATTATCTGTAATAATTAACAACTAGTTGCATTTATTACCTTACAAAAAAAGTAAATATGGAGAACAAGATAAGAGAAGTGGCACAAAAGTAATCCAATTTCTGAAATCAAAGTAAAAACAGTTTATAATTTTACAAAATTGATCTGACAACATTTTGACAACAACTAAATTTAGCTGTACCTCAGTCCAATTTAAATCTCTTGTGTGAAAGATGGTAGACCATGTCCAAGCATTGACGTTAACCTAAGATATAGTAATAAATAAACACAAAATTATTATATCATTATTACATTATACTAAACATTCTATAAAAATAATAATATGCATTGTACAATTAAGTTTCCTCATCTGCAGTTCTACCTCCAAACAGTGTATTTGTATGGAAGAATGGTAGGTTAATTACTGGTTGGTTATGAGTATGATTTTGTAGTAGGTTGAGGGTAAGTTACCGGGGGGGGGGTACTCCCCTATATTTGCTATACGGGTACATGCCGTCAAACATGGTATGGTTTTCAGTGATTCTACTCTGGAACAGGGTATACAAAATTTTAGCTCGCTCTGGGACAGGGTATATGAAACTAGCTCTCTCCTCTCTGGAACAAGGTACAGTGGGCTTAGCTGCACATCCCTACCGTAAACAGGCAAGAGCMCCCCCCCCCCCCCAGGTATGTTAATGGTAAGTTGCCCAGCAGTGAGTGGAGGTACGCTTGGCACAAAGGACAACCTTATGATTCAAACCATTTTTAAAAGCCTATAATCAAAGGTGTGATGTATGCCTGCATTTCTCCAGTGCTAATATTAGATTGCCCACACCCTTATTGTATATATTACTTTTACAATTCATATAATATATTTTTACAAACCATACCAGCATGTAGGTCTTCCATACATTGTACATTTGGTAGTCTTGTGGTACAGCCCTAACATACTTCTGCCACCCAGCCACATGTGCCACACCATTGAGTATTGAAAAGAGAGTTGAAGCTGGTTCTTGGATCCCAAGACACCTGACAAATGGCCACTAATAAATAAAAAATATTAAATAATTAATAATCAATGAGGAAAACACAATAGAAATCAGTCACCAGGGTGAAGTCTGTAAATAGAAAAAAAAATCCTCATTTGCATTCAATTTTATAACATCGATTTTCACATCAAGACTCATTCCAGTGAGGTGCCTTCCCAAAATATACGTCTCACCTTGAACTCCAGACTTAAGAACTACTAAATGAAGCACTATTTTGAATCTCTATTTTTGGGGTACATGTTACAGCCGCATGTTGGTTGATGATAACAAAACATTCCCCATTACTTTCTCTTGGCAGCTGTTTTATATTTTTTATTTATATCTCAAGGGATTTTGAGTTGTGTGGTTGAACCCAAGAATAGCAAGTGTAACCTACCTTTCCATAAAACTGTTTGATACTCCTGTTGTTGGCAACATCATCAGCTGTAACCTTATGCATGCAATTATACTTGCATTCATCTAGACAATCCCAGCTAAACAGCCGGAGGTACCAAGGTAGATCTCTGGGGTATCCCTCAATATTACATGAAATCCATTCACAATCACTAACACAATTTAGAAACCTGTATGATCTGTCGCCAGCAGAAGAGGATACTGGAGAAATACAGCACAGTATAGCCAACGCAAATTCAAGACCGCCACAGATGAACCGCATTCTCCAAAACTATAATATACTTGACTTAGTTATACTACAGTTCCTTTGAAGAAGAGAAAATCAGACTATCAAAAACTTCGTATGAATATAGTATATAGTGAATTTGAGTGCATCAAGTATATATTGGTTCTATATAGACCTCTTAATTTCCATTTCGTGTCATTTCCTAGTATAGAGTATTGTTTTGTTTTGTTATTCTGATTTATACAGCAGTGAGGCTAGGCCTACATACACATTGGAGTTTTTAAGAGTCATCAATATGGATACAAGTCAAAAAATACTTTTATTCTCAAGAGGATGAAAATGTTTTGCAATTGTATCATTCATTCTTTATGACCTTTTCTAAGTTCAGCTACATCAAATTCCATTTTCCCCCTGCAGAACGCTCTAGCTGGGCTTCCTGTGTGCATAGGAATGCCCTTGGAAGTAAATTAAAAAGACAATAAAATTTGACGATCTAAATAATAGGGACTAAATTAAAAGTTAAGATTGTTAATATCCAGGATTTTAATTTTTTTGCAAGAAACAAATATGACACCCTTTAAATAAATATCACACTCACGCGATTTCACGCGATCAACCATACATTATCTCGACAATATATGATTAAAACTTCGCTAATAATGATAGAAAAGTACCAGTGAAATGAAAGGAAAATGCTTACCAGAATTCATAGAAAAACCATTTCTATTTAGCACAGAAAAACGGTTAAACCTTTCCAAACAAACAACACAAGACCACCCGCCATTTTGGAACCAACCTTGTCATCCCCAGGCTCTACTCTCATACAACAAGGAACGCCTGGTAAAGTTCTTGTTCCAGGATTTTTTCTCCAACTTTCTGCTGTAGTTTCTTCAGCTTTTGGTTTTCGTTTTGAGGTTTTTGTTATGTTTTAAAGAGATTTTGCTTGATGATGCGATTGCTGCGTTGTAAAAAGAAGTTGGATGTTTTACTTTCAAGAGGAACAAGGTTCAGGTGAGTGCACAGGGCTAACTGGACAAAAGATCATTGACACCAGGACGACGATAGATTGCATAACATTTAAATAAGCAAAACGACAAATGATTGGAGAACAGGAACGAAAGTTAAATATTGACCACATAATAGGAATTCATGAATAAAAGTTTTATTCATATTTGATTCCTGGACTTGTCCAAAAGAAAGTATATTACGCGTCTCATATTTACCCTGCGGTCCAAAGGCTATTTATTCTCGCTTCGGCTGTTTTTTTTACAACGTGAAATAGAACCTCTGCAGCACAGGGTAGTCCTTTATATACATGTGACATATTTTCAGTCATAGAATCATGTCTACTCACCTGGAAAGAACAGAATCATCATCCAGAGATCAGGTAAAATGTCTTCACTTAAAACTTTCCATCACCTTTAGTTTGTACATGAAAGGTTTTTTATTAATATAATGTACTTTGTTTTGATTCTGTTAATAATGTTAAAAAAAGAAGTGGCTGCTAAATACCCCAGACTTCCATTATATACATATGTTATGCAACTATCAATGAAGTCCTGTGTGGAGGGGTGGGGGGTAGCCGAGCAAGGGGGACGGGGATTTGAGAGCAAACATGTGCCCCTGGGTTGGAATTTGATAGCTTATAAAAGCTTACTCTACATTTACTTATGATTGTATGACAATTTCATGAGATCATTTAGTGTAATTTGATTGACAACTGCTTCCCAGCCCTGGAACATTTGAATTTTTCTTATGATTTTTTCCAAACCCACACCCCCTTGCCTGCCTACCCCCCCTCCCCCCCTCCAGCACTTCCCTTCCCCAGGTGGGTGTTGCAACTAATGATTTTTACCTATATGAGGTACCAATTATCTATTGTGATTAAGTGAAAGAAGTCGGATGATGTTCCAAAAAGAAATATTCAAAATTACAGCTTTCCATATTGCTGTTATTAATATAACCTCAGGTATCTTATTACTTGACAAACACCCTAAGAGGTACTCTCCTTGTCATTTAAATTTTGTGACACCCTAAGACAGCTAAAAAATCACAGATTTTTGTTTGGAGTACCCCAATATGTTTGAAGAATTTAAATTACATATTCCACTGGAAATATTTTAATTATAATTACGAAAAAACATTAACCAAGGAGGTCCATGGCCCTTCAGGTAAAAAATAGTAGCCCCCAAAGCTAGTTATTAGTACACTGAATGACTGCATGGTAATATTAATATAAAAGAAAGGATGGATGGATGGATGGATGGATGGGTTGGTGGGTGGATGGATGGATGGGTTGGTGGGTGGGTGGGATATCGAATGGACAACAGACAGAAACAAGATGGAGGGATTTATGACATCATTATGAATAGGGTGGCACAGAGGGGTTCTGCACTAGGTTGTACAAATCGATATTTCCAAATTTCACATGGCATTTTGAGGCACATTTAAAAAAAGAAAGGATGGATGGATGGATGGATGGATGGGTTGGTGGGTGGATGGATGGATGGGTTGGTGGGTGGGTGGGTTGGTGGGTGGATGGGATATCGAATGGACAACAGACAGAAACAAGATGGAGGGATTTATGACATCATTATGAATAGGGTGGCACAGAGGGGTTCTGCACTAGGTTGTACAAATCGATATTTCCAAATTTCACATGGCATTTTGAGGCACATTTACAATTTACATTTGCATCACAAAATATGTTACCTGAAACCAGAAATTCCTATATCATGCGTCATGTGTAACCACTGTGGCACCCTGTTTAAATATGTTTTATTTTATTTCTTGCATTATAACTTTATACCTAAATGGCCTTTTAACTCAATACACAGAATGTTTTCTCTGCTGAAGTAACAAAGATAAATCCACTGTCAAAAAGTGTAAAACAATTGAATTTAAAAATAATTGACAAGTCTTTTTATTTCAAGCCAGGTCAATGGTAAGTAAAGGTTTATTAAGTGGGTTAGTGTACTTGCAGCCCTCCCCCCCTTCCCCTCTGATCAGAGGAATGCCCCCAAAATATGTGACATAGCATTTCCAGAAACAAAAAATATAAAATTTTGAGTGAATCATTTACTTTCTGACCAAGGCATGTCTTGAAAATACTGAAAATAACTAACATCTCCAAACATGTGAATTGTAAACATTATGTCGTTGGGAACTATTGCTTCTCCTCTCGCTAAGAATGATCTTGCATGTACCTTAAGAAATTATTCATACGGAGGAATTTTTTTAAGACTCCCCCTGCCCCAGGAAATTCCAATTTATCTTTTATGACCCTCCCTTCCAACACCCCCACCCCCACCCATCAGAAATTCTAAATTCCTCTGTTGCAGGGGGTGAGGGGGAGAGGTATGGATAATTTCTGAAAATACACATTTCTAGAAAATAACTTTGATTTTAGTCGCCTGTTATTCTGACTACTCAACTGCAGTACTAAATCTACTTGCAACTCAAAATCTTGAATTTTTCTTAGCCCTTAAAAGTGGTTGAATTCTCCTAGCTATTTAATACATTTTATTTTATTTGACAGTTTTAAAACTCAAACTTGTTGTTCTGTCTTTTGCATTCTAGGATGTCTTATATTTTAAAATCTTCATGTAAGTTAAAATGTTTTTTTCTGTTGTTTAGGGTAGATTTCTTTATACCAGGGCTGTCCACAGTTGGAGGTTTTTCTATTTGTTCAAGTCCAAAGTGTCTGCAACAGAATAAACAACTTACTCTAGCTGTCAAGTACAGTACACATCCTCCTGCTCACTGGGTCCATACACAGGTATTTTACGAAATGTTTTTGTACAGACTAGATGTGTAAGATCACATAATAGTATCTACATGTATATCATGTCTGGATGTCAGGAACAATTCATGGTTCTGACCTCCCTTAGTTAACATTCGGTTGCTGTGTCCCACAAGCTAAGCCATGCAATAATTAGCTTGTGAATATCTCTTGAATTAATAGAAAATTGCCTCATAATCCTTGTAGTTGTCTATAAAGCAAACGTATAGAGTGAGACAAGATTTTATTTCCACTGCAAAAACTGCTGGATTTTTACGTTTTTATTTTTTGTTTTGTTGACAAGTGTAAAACTGGGGACAAAGTCCAGATTCGTGTTGGTGGAGACTTTTACTTAGACCTTTCCAAACCTTATGGTGATCAGTCTAGGGAAGATATTTTGCTCATCGCAGGAGGAGTTGGGATTAACCCTTTGTGGTCCATGATGCAGTATGTTGCTGATACTATCACAGAGTCTCCAACAGTTTCATTTGGAAGGACATCACTTCTTTACAGTGCTAGCACTAATGACGAGCTGCTCTTTAAGGTAAGGCAAAACTATGTTATATTTAAATGTTATCTGTTAACTGGCAAGTGTGACTTGCTTTGTTGCATAAAAGAGTTACAGTTTTAATGCTGGTTCATGTATATAATAATCGCCATGCCAACCAATAGAAACTGCTCTTTTACAAGGAAAAGGGCACCATAATCAGAAGAAAATGAGAATAATATTATTAATAACTGAGTCCAACTTCCAATGTCATTCCAAAGATGAAAACTTAACCATGCTCATTTTCTAACTTTTATTAAATTTTGAATTATAATTATTTCTCCCCCAAGTTAGTGGTCTTCTCCGCAGTAGAGGAGACTATTCTCCCAGCAGATAATTTACTGAATCCGACTATTATAAAATATGTCAATTCTTGGTGTGCGACACTAGAAAGTATGACCACATGTAATTGATTGGCATACTTCTAATCTATGCACACCTTGCTTTTTGCTGCGAAACAAGCTTTTACACACTTTATTTAAATGATGAAACTTCAGCTTTGCACTGAAATGTGACAGTCACACTTTTGCACGTCGCCCTATAAAGGATTGCATAAACTTGACGTCAAGTGGTTGTTTTATAATGCAGGATGCCATCATTGACACTTGTAATCAACATCCTCTCATGGACTGCAAGTTTTTTATAACATCAGATGAAATCACAGATCAAAATCAGATTTTGTATAATAACAAATTTACTCAAGGTATGAAATAATATATAAAGGAACAAAATATAAATATAAATACAAAAACAATTTGGTCTTAATTATTAATATCCCATATCCCATCCTATTAGCTATTCCAGAATGGCAGAACATTCGGGACTCTTGATTACTTATGTGTTGTCTTTTTTGCTTGCTGATGGTGAAAACTGAAAGAAATTGTAATGTTATTTTTCAAATGTTTTTTGTTAACCAATCAGAATTGAGAAAATTTCCAAAACTGAGATGTCACTTTTCCCTTTGAAATTATAGATTTCCAGGCCACTAAATGAAAAAAAAAACATTAATGAGATGAGTTTTATATTTTTAATGCAATGGTGGACAGGTTTTTATTTTTCGCTGCTCAATTTTCACAGGCTTCATGATACCTAGGGGGGGGGTACTCCGCCAGAATTTTGGTAGAGGTGTTACGCTGGGATTCTGAAAGGGGTACCCTGTTTATGACAAAAAAACTCAAATTTGTAAACCCTGTTCATGACAAAAGATATAATTTATTGCACTGAGTTTTTGTTTCAATTATCATGTCATCTCGTGTATCGGTTTTTCTACGACCATAATAACCAGTTTCGGTCAATACGAAAGTACAAACCCTGAATATGACAGGAAACTCAGGAAGAACTTCGAACTTGAGTGAAATTGCATACCCTGTTTATGACAAGAAGCTCGAAAAACCATACCCTGTTCAGCGGATCATCCCCATATAGTCCATATATGGGAGTACCCCCCGGGTCATGATACCTCAGTTTTACAGTGACGTCATTTCTACGTAACTAATTTCAGATCAGCTGGAAGAGTTGTCAATATAACCTCCATTGTTAATTTCTTTCAAGGTTACCGAATAACAAAAGACACATTAAAGATGGCCCTAACTCAGCTGAACACTAGTAGAGTCAAAGTGTTCATTTGTGGACCACAACCAATGATAGAATCCATGGTAGCTACCCTTCTAGAACTTGGTGTTGATATCAACAATATTCACTTTGAGAAATGGTGGTGATCAGAAAGCATCATTTTGCCATAGCTACTGCAGTCTTGGATACATGTACATGGTAATTGGTCATATTACGCACAATGGTTATAATTAGGAATCTGGAAAATGATGCATGATGGTCACATCTACTGGTAATCATCAATAATTCCATGACGGTCTGCAGGACGTTCTCTATTTGAAACAAATTGAATTGCATCTTGTGGTAGCCTGCTTAGCCAGGTGCTCCTTTTGTGTAGTTGGGGAGTCAGGGTGGGGGAGTCAGGGTCGGGGAGTCAGGGTTGGGGAGTCAGGGTTCGGGAGTCAGGGTTGGGAAATATTGGGGTGCTAATCTTGCAATTGTTTTTAGTACAAATTAGCAGAAAAACTTTTCAATATTTCTCCCTTTTGATAGAACAATCTTTCCGCTCACCCAGTCCCCTTAAATGGGTCCTGATACAGAAGGTGTACCCTTAAAATTAGGTCTACCTTTTCCACCCAGGTATCTTTAAGAGCCTGACATATTACAACTGTTGCTCAGTTTTTATTTAAAGATATACACAATCATCGTACATTTAATCTTTGAATAATTATGCTATTACAGTACTACTACATCAGCCAAGGCCACCCAAACAAGTTTTCAAAAAAAAAAAAAAAATCAAATTTGCTGAATCGCATTGTGACGCTGAACAACAGGATAATGGCGACACAAACATAAAGTAAAATATTATGATTGCAAAAAAATCTGAAAATTTGTGTAGTCATTCTGACTATTGTTTAAATATTAGATCGTGATTGGCTAATTTGTATGAAAATTTGTTTGTGTATCCTTGATTGGTGTAGTCACACTGTAGAAATTATTTATAGATCTGTATCATAAAAAAATCAATTTCACAAACAAATTGGTCTCATGGTATAAGATCTTCTTTTTAACAAGATTTTCTTTTTTCAAATATCCTTTGAATTTAAACTCTTTAAGCTGTTATCATCATATAACTCAGCCAGCTCTAAAAGCCGATTAAAGGTGTGATAAAGTTTCATTATTCAAAGGAATGGTCAATGCTTGGTGTTGTTCGTATATTCAGTTCTGAATGCATGCAGGGGGTATATATAACTCTAGCTTCCTAAAAGAAACTTAAAAGCAACCTCCCCAGCTCATCCAGAACTGGATATATGCACAACTAAGCTTTGATCATTGTTCTAAAGACTGCAAAAAAATATTATTTGTTGTTTAAAAAAATTCATTTTTGTTTTAACATAATCTTCATAACATGGCATGTGCTACTCAATCACACCAGCATGCACCATCCATTTTTGGATGCAAGCTCGTGAACTCTATTTAACCAATCAGAGTGTGTGCTACATCGTGGCTATGTTATAAATGTTTGATTAAAAAAATATTCGAAAAATGTGGATAAAATATATGCAGTAGAATGAAATTATAAATTACTTTTGTCTTTTCTGTTGAGAATGTGCTAATAAAGTCAACACATTAATGAATCGTAATCTGTAATGTATTTTATTATTATTATTATTTTGTTAAATATACTTTATTCTCTCTGGCATTGCTGTTTTGAAGGGAAGAGGAGAAATAACCCTTCCTTTTGTTCCCTTGCACTGGGGCTCGCTCGTTACAATCACAATCAAGGGAAATAGAACCTCTGAAGACCAGGGTATTGGTTAGATGTATAAATCATTAAAACTCCTAATCATGGGTATGTAAAAAGAGCAACATATAAAGATTCTAATGTACATAACTATATGTCGGCGGTTATCATGCACTGTGCATGTGTTCACTGTGTTTTACTTGATCTTCGAAGAAGCAAAAGGAAAGCCATAATGCGGAAGCCAACAAAGAGAGCCAGGAGGGCATAGATGTCAATCATAAAGGTATCCTGTAGACAAACAAAGTCAAATAGCATCAATCCAAGACATTTCTAGGTCAAATTTCCACATGCAGCCTGCACAGTAAATATGGTATAATAATAAGTTTAAATATCATATATTAAGTTGATGTCATACCTTCTTAAGACCAAGAAAATCAATGGCTGCATCACCATTGGGTATGCACAATGACGATGTTTGATTCCTGCTTGAACAATTATCTAATGAATAAATAAATAAATGATAAGTGAAAATTGCTGTAACCAAATTAAAGTGGTCTGTTAACTGTCTACGCTTGATGGCAATATCTAGGGATCATAAGTCAGTGGCTGACCTCTTGTTTATTGTATAGGTTAGAAGGTATTGCAAAACGTACCTATTTTTCCATAACTATCCCACTGGTTTACGATGAGCAGCTCAAACCCATATCTAAACCAGGATATGTACTTTATCCAAATGAAATAAACAGGAACAGTACTGGAAAGTTGAAGAAAAACAACATACAGGTCAGGAATGTTTGTAGATGAATTCAAATACTGCACCTCATGCTGACAAAATATCATGCAGTTTTCATGCTGGCAATGCAATATGATGCAAAATTCATCTGTATTCTCTTTTTTTAATGTTTTCTTCAGACAGTTATGTGAGCTAGCAGGGCTTAAGTGCATAACTAACCAATGTCTGACGAAAATGAGTGAGGTGTATCTAACCAGTTGGGTGAAGTGCCGAGGTGGCTAAGAATTAAATAAAAACTTTAATTCTTCACATCACCAGATGCATCAATTGTGTGCCGATAAATGGCCAAAAAGTGGCATGTACCAAGGAAAAGAGGTTCCAGTGATTAACCAGTTGGATCTAAATAGCAGCTTTAAACTTACGAGTCTTTAAGGAAAAATCCACCAAATAACATCAAAGGCAACATCAATGGAGGGCCCAGGGCCGACGCTCCTTCAACGGAGGGTGACAAACTAGATATGACATATCCTGCAATAATATGCATACAAAATGTATAAAACAACGTTGACATGCATGAAGGCACAGACATACAAGTATGTGAACACTCAACTATTGCTGGCCTGCAACCATGAAATTGTGTCCAAATCTGCATATGTTGCATGCAACATTGCAGTAGAATTAAAATTTCTTTCTTCAGTGTTAGGTGCAACAACTTTAGTTGTGAACACACTTCCAACTATAAAAAATTCTGCTATGCGTAAAAAATTTCCATAATTTATAGTCTTGTTAAGTTGCAGCAATATTGTGTAACATCCCTTGAAAGGCCTGAGAGGTGCAGAAATTTTACTTACCATATGAAATAGCTACGTTAGTTAATGCAGCCAGAATGGCAAAAGCGTAGATGAAAGGAAGAAGTTCTGGCCGAAGACCTTAAAAAAGGTAAAAAAATGTTTGCAATAGTTATTCATCAGAAACGTCACTATTTGGGGATAAAATCCAAACGCTTTTTCTGGCGGTTCTTTATTAGGCGAACAATAATTATCCACCAGAAGGAACAAAAGAATATTTCATTTTCATTTTTATCATTGATGGGTTGCAAGTATTCCCAAGAGAGTTAAAAGAAAACATGGAGGCCATTGTGGTACTGTTACCAATGGATGCTAATGAGAAATCTTTTGTTAAATGGTACCAACGTGGCCGCGATGACATAACATGCGAACGAAGAATTGTCAAGACATTTCTGCCAATCACCTATTGGTTCTGTCCTGTGCTTCAAGGGTTTTTTATGTCCTCTCTTTGCAAAGATAACTTCTAAATTCTAATCAAATTCATTGAGAAAGAGCTAAACAGTGGGAACTCTCATTTTTTCGTTCTCTTAGGATGAGATAAAACTAAAATAATCTGGTCTCGTCAGGTTTTTCTTTCAAGTTGAGACATACTAATGCGCCTTTACATCTAAATACAACAACGTAATTCTGACTAGAAAAGCTTGGAATATTTTGGTTGGTTGATGGGGAGCCATTTAGTAGACCATTAAAACCATACCAATCATCCAATAAGATACAGACGTCAGTAGAAGTGGTGACAAGATGAAAATAGGAAGCTGAAAGACAACAAAATAACATCAAAACAGAACCTTTGTGTATGTGAGTGAAATAGAGGGAAGGAGTGTGGTAACCCCTCCCTTCCACGCGGTGAAGTTTTTTCTTACATCGTGATAAGGGAATTGTTACTAAGACGACCTCGTTTACAGCACACTCACTACTACTACATTTATAATATCTGCACACAAATCTCAACTCACTTGGTAGTTATTCCAATCATTTGTAAAGCACACTCAAAATGTACAAAAAATGAAGAGATGAGAAAGCAATAATGGTGGAAGACTAGAGTAGATTTTTCAGGACTGAGAAACAGCATTGAATGATGGCACTGTCACAGCACGGAATAAATGACATCCCTCGAACCAATCACAGTGTGCAAGATCACTGCTCATTCAATAGAGCCTTTTGGGGCAAAGCCTTTAAAGTCTAATAATGTTTGGACAAGTCACAATCGCGGCATGGCACGGCACGTCATGGCTGGTCTGTACTGTGTGCTTTTGACAGTTATAGGAAGTGTACTTTACGAAGGCAAAAATTGATATGTCTTATTTTTTCTTTGTCATTAAAATAAATGCACAAGGACTACATGAATATGGCAACGCAAGGATACGCACAACATTTAAAGTTTGCCAGTTGAATATTAATTTGACCAGAAGAAGCCATACCTCAGCAAGAGTCTTTGATAAGAAGTACACATCTGTCCTATACATGCCATTCTTGTGGTCTCGTAGAAATACCGGTAGTTCTGCAGGAAAAACCTTAACAAAGGCAGGAAAAACGTGGCTTACAAAACCATACAATCAATTTTGTTTTTGTTATTGTGCTGTTGCTGCTGTTGTTACCATTGTGCAGTTGCTGTTGTTTTGTTGTTGCTACTGCTGTCGTCACTGTTGTTTTGTTGTTGCTACTGCTGTTGCTTATTGTCATACAACAATCTAGAGTAATATACTGACAATAACAAAGATATTTCTGTGGAAAAACTTACGAATATGACTCCTTGAAGACCTGAAAATGACACTGAGGTGACGAGAAAGAAAATGGCACCTGAGAGGTTCTGTACGCCGCTCGTGTCAATTGGTGTTTGAAGGTAAATCAAGCCGGCAATAAGTCCTGTTATCTGTGGTATCACAAAACAAATACATTATCAGGATCTTGAAACACATTATCATGATGCAGCCTGAGTTTAACTCTGCATTTACGTTTGGTTGTAAGCAGGCTAATATAATTCCCAAGGGAATAACAGGTGGTCTGAAATGGGACAACATTACACCCAAGCCGAGGAGGTCTATTGCGATTACATCTACTAAACTAGATAACACCAATTCATTTCATCATTAACTTGATTGACTGCACAACATCAAAACGTCAGTCAAACATTTGACTTACAATACTCTGTATCAGCCTAATTCTAGACATGATCTTGTCCCTTTGTGTGGCTATCCAGCTTCTCCATAACACAGCCCTGAACTGTGTGCACCAGGATGCCTTGTACCTATAGATTAAAAAATATATATATAATCCCTTGGTGAAACATGAACAACCTCTTAGTTCATAAAATTAAGGGAACAGCCTTTTTAAGTTGGGTTTTGTGGAGGGAGGAAAAGCGAAGTACCTGGAGGCAACTGAACCCGTGAATCAGGATTGGAGAGATCCAACAAATTTTGCCCAAATGTAATTGATGTCGAAAAAAGACTGCAGCCAATGGAGGCAAGGTCTGTGGACAGAGGCATTTTGTGGAATTTGTGTCACACCTTTAAGTCAAAGTTGCCAGGTAATAGACGACTTGCACTAAAGGTCAAGTGACCTTATTTCCTAATGAGCAGCTGCTTTAAAATGAACAGAAATGAAAAGAGCACCTCCACAAATCCTCAGAAGATATTCTTTTTTATATTTAATGCCATTTATGAGCCGAAACGTCGCCCTCTTACTAATGTTGACCTGCTCTTTTCATTCCTAAAGTTCGTTTTGACACATGACTGCTTGTTTTAAGTGAGGTAGGGTCACGTGACATGTTAGTGCAAGTCGCCTATTGAATGTACAAACTAATTTGTCACCCTTATGCTGCATCAAGCATTGGAAAATATTAGGTTGACTTACGGTTGATGGGATACAACTTCTTCTTCAGAAAATGAATTCTGAAAATAAGAACGGTAATTTATCTTTTTTAAGTAATCTGGAATCTATTGAAGTGAGATGTGAGTAAAAAGTTGGAACTGGGGAAGTGTAGATTCAACTGCATTTGCCAATTCAATGTCAGGGCATATGTACCATGTACATGCTGTAAGCCAGTACTGTATGTTTTTCACTGAAAACCACTCTCACTATTCCATGTATTTATGAGTTGCAAGCATTCCCAAGAGAATCAAAAGACATTTTGATGTCGTTAACAATAATGGATGCTAATTAGAAATATTTTGTTAAATATAATGGCACCAACAAAAGGCTGCGATGATGGAACGTGCAATTGAAGAATTGCAATACATTTTGATTTTTTCATTTGACATTTGTCTGTTTCTATTGATTGAGGTGATTAGTCTGCTGTTCTACGAGAAGAGCTAAAATGTCCTAACACAAAGCAAAAACACATTTACTAACTAAGTGTAAAAGTGCACAACACAACAGTGCATTGGTCACTAGTATGTAAACTGCATGCAGTGGTGTCATAACGAATAACTGTGAGTCACGCTAACTTACGCTTCTGCTGCTTGCATTTTCTTTCTCAAGTTTTTCTTGATCAGCATGGAAATCACATATTTGCTGCAAAAAGATTGATAAGTATTATGATCTAAAATTACAATAGCTGTATTCCCCATGATTATCGAAATAAAATCTACAAATGGTAAACCCTAGAGCAAGAGAGCCTATGGAAATCAGGAGGTACCTCCCTCGTAACCTCATTCTGGAGCACTTGAATGTGAGGCTCTGTGGGGTAAATATCTGTTGTTCTGCTCAACATGGCTGAAGCGCAAGAAATGTCCGTCTGGATATTTGAAAGATGCTGCTGTGTCTTGTGTCTGGACAGCCCTGTGTCATTTGTATTACCCTACCTACCTGAGTTCTCTCCCGACACTTTTCTTCTTCACCTGGGACAATCGCAAGTAACTGAACAAAGAAGTCAGCAGGGTTGAAGTTTGATGGACACATGTAACCAAGACTACAAAAACAATGATACTGTAGATGATGATAATGATAAGAAAAAGGAGCACAATTTAGTCCATGTCATCTGGAAGTTTGTCCCTGTGATGCACACCTTTGAAAATATAGCCTATCAGAATGCAGGAACAAAAACTGTCGTATATTCAGAGATATTTCCACTGTTACTTCTCATCAGGCATTGCAGCCTAGGTGTATTACAGTTCAATGTTGTGGGAGATAAAAAAGGTTAATATACAATGCTTTCCCATGGCACAGCATGAAATATCCTACTCAATTAGCTGGTTGTATTTTCTTAGTAAACAAACACACTTTTGTTTGTATACTAGAAAATACAAGTGACTTGTGGGATATTACATGGTAAAATACCACTGAAAGCCATAGTATAACTACTATTTAGATGATGTTCTAAATGCTGTTTGAAAAAAGTTGATGTTTGCCTTCAGTTTCTTCGCAGTAGTTGATTTAACCACTTTGTTTATGACGACACATTTTAATTTGAGAGTATATGATAATAACAAGACAAGTTACTTACTCGGCAAAATATGAAATCGCTCTACCCAAAGGTCCAAGATAAGCAACACGCCCTTCAGCCATTAGCAACACACTAGAAAATTCACAAAGAATGAGAGAGTTGATGAACAACTGGGATACAAAGATTGTCCAATTTGTCCAATGTTTCCACTAAATATGCACTGAAATTCTGAATATAATTTCACGTGAGGCATAAAAGTTACACCTATGCAACTTTTGCGTATAACATTACCGAAAAAGAAACAAAATATATACTTGTTTTAAATTTGGCAAAAGGGATAATAATATTACTTTCTGCAGTCATTATTACTTCCTGTAGTCAGATGACTGGAATAACATGTGTAACCGGCGGCAAGGCGCTCAGCTATGAATCAGATTGCAAGTGGTTTTGACAAAAGAATTTATTGAAAAATTCACACCGCGCTGAAATTAGCAGCCAACTCGGCAGCCAACTCAAAAATGTCATATAATGCATCCTATGCAACTCAAATAAGATTATTCATCTGTACTAAGTTAATTTATGGAGTTTCGTTCTTTAATTGAGCTAAATAAATGAAACATATATATTTTAGTAGTCATTGAGTATCAAATCAGTATCATGAACATTGACATGCTTGATGATGTAAACTTAACTTAACCTAAACAGTTATCTTTACCATCGTGCATTGTAAAATATGAATTTAA